TAAAAAAACAGCCTTGAAAAAAGAGGAGATGACCTAATGGTATAAAGAAACATTGATTAAAGAGATACCCAGAGGGAGAAAGATATTCCATCAGCTTTAACAAACACTGCATGGCCCTGCATTCCCTCTTAACTTCTCAAGTAACAGGAGAAAAAAATCTCTGTGGAAGAGGCAGTCACATGGAACCATTTATAAATTTTCCCTTTATTCCCTGTTCATCTTTTGCATGGTTTTGTTCAAGATGTACAGGAAATGCGCACACCAAAAGCAACTCACAAAATTAAACATGATAGGTTAGTTGTGAATATTTTACCCTGTGTAGCCAAAGAAGGAACAAAAAAAATTTTTTATAAGGAATATAAAATCCATTAAATCATGTTTTTTCTTGATTAGATTGATTATACATTAATATTACCTAGTAATGATGCAAGCAGTCTATCCATGCTTATACTAGTCTTTCATCAGAAACTCACTTTTGGCAGAGTTTCTCCCTCACAAAGCAAAAGCTAAACAGACTTCCTTAAACTTCTACAGGTGCAAACTTTATGTCAAGGTAGAATTTTTCAGGAAAGTCTGAGGCAAATCAGACAAGAAAATTCCTAGTCTAAAATACTATTTTCAAATGGAATTACTGTGCAAGCATACTATCAACAACTTTGTAAAAATAAAAATCAAACAGTAAGTTGTTAGCATCTGAGATTTTCTTAGAAGACAGATATGGGAGGAGCTACGAAAAAAAGTTGACATTGCTCCTCAGAAATAAAGAAACAGGGAAATAAAATATCCTGCTCCAATATATGCATCCAGATGCATTAGGAAAAGCAAGTCAAGTGCAGTTTCAATTTGCAACTGGGAACAGACAGGCTGTTCTCAAATTCCTGTTCATCCCAGAGCCATGAAAAAGCCCTCTTCTAGCAGCCACCCAACAGAAAAAGGTACAGAGCCTTCATTGTGGTCTGGGTAAAAATGAGAATTGAACTCAACTCTCAAATTACTCAAAACAGTAATACATTCCCCCATTAGGAATATTTGCCTCCTGGGAGTCGTCCCCTATGCTACAAAGCTCTGAGGAAAAGAACAGATAAAAACTTCACGTCACAACTTCCATTGACATTTCCCAATTAGCCATCCTAAGCCCACATCACCAACCACCACAGAATTACAACCATACCAAGGTCAGCACCAGCTGCATCCTTCAAAATAACCCCTCACTTCAAGGTGCAAATCAGCAGGTGAGAACCAGGACATGAGGACTGTGGCAATCTACTGTGGAAAGTTGAGACAAGCTGTGCACATCCTTGCTTACTTCTGCATGAAGAGACTCAAAATACTGTTTGTATTTTGTGTTTTGAGTTGCTTTCATTTTCAAAAAAAATTAAAATAATTTTGAGAAAGTCTTCTCTCCTGGTTCCATTCACTTTCAATTCAGACTCCCAGAATCTTCCATTGTAGTTTAAAGACAAAATATTTCCTTCACCTTATCGGGCAACATGTAAATTCTAGCTCCCAATGGGTTTTCTGAAATGTAATAAAATAAATTAAAAAAATATTAGTATATACAAGGACGCTTAGAGGACATCAAGTTCTTTCAGAACAATTTAAAAATTAACTGCTTTTTGTGCAGGGGACAGCAGGAGGATTGCCCATCCCACTCTCCCCACTGGTGCTTTACCATGCAGTGCTTTACTGCATGGTAAAGCACCAGCGTTTCACAAAATAGAAGTCAATCATATCACAAAATAAATATGTCCACTAACTTCTTATTCAACACCAAAAAAATGGCTTCTAAAGTCCCTTGCAAACTACTATATTATTCCATTATATGAACTGGTACAATCAGCTTATTTGTAGGATGCTCCGTACTATTGAAGATTTCTACTGCTGCCCTTGGGGACAGCCTACAGAAAAAGTGCCAATATTCAGATCCTGTTCACACAATTCAGTTTCACTAAAGAACACACTGAGAGGGCACTTTGATAGCAGACACCAGCAAAATCTGAGCCATTTCCGCAAATGAAGCCTTAAGGGTGTTTACAGGTCTGTTTGTTTACACAGAGACAAAACATGTCCCACCTGGAAGCACCAGTGGGAGCCAACAAAGCCCTACAAGGATGGCATCTCTCTACAGACTCAAACTGACCACCCATGCCAAAATTGTAAGAATCCCATAACTACGGGCTTATCTTCGACCAAGCCAATACTCTACTGATAAGAAACTGAGGCATGGAAAGTCTGAATAGAAATTAACCCAGATTTTCCAAGGGGCATCTATTTTACAGCTACCATTTGAAGCTAAGAGAAACAACATTTTTAAAGCCAGTTCATGTTGTATTCTTGAAGGACTTGCTGTATTTGGTTAATTTTCACTCCTGCTTACATGTGCACACGCACATACCTGGAACAGCTAAAACAAAGACTTCAAGGTGGGAAAAACTGAGGAAGAAAGAGAAATGGTGTCAAAGATGGACTCAGTTTCAGAGAGAACACTAAACCCATCAGTTTTTGTCCCTCATGCAAGTGCTCAGACAAAAGTTTCCCAGGTTCCTTATAAACTGAAAAAACCTTCCTGAATAATTTACATTTTTCAAAAATGGTTCTCCAGCAAGCTTTACCTAAGAGCTAGCTGAGCCTCCTTGCAAAATGTGCTGTTTAACTGAGGTTTAACTAGACTATCATCTACAATCCCAGGCCCAAATACAGGGAAATAAAACCCACAATGTTTTCCCAAAGGAGGCGGAAGGAGTTTACATGCTGTATCCTGTAAAGAGGCAAGAGGCACAGATAAAGTTGTGCTTTCAGCTCCACCAGAATAAATCCTCAGGAACTCCACGTTGACAGAAACCTCCACCCTAAACTCTCCAAGGACTTTCCTCAGCTCAGCTGAGGATACTAACGAAGCAAACTCTGATCCTCTTTTTTTCCTAGAAATCTGCTTGACAATTCAACATCTTTGATGTAAATCCTTTAAAAGACTGTGATGGCACCAAGTAAGGAACAGGATGGGGGAAAACCTGTTTCCGACTCCTCTGTGGGGATACCATTAGGAGGAGGGTTAATAGCCCTGGGCATGCGATCAAATTAAGGTTTGTGCCAGTTCCCCCAGGCTTTCCCTTGCCATCAGCAGCTTCCCCAGGCTGGGCAGCTCACCCTCATCTCCTCTCCAAAGATACATCTTAAACAGAAGCACAACAGTCTGCTGGGAGGAAACACAAAGATAATCACACAACTAACTTATATGGACAAAGTATGAAACAGGCCGAGGGAGGGCAAAGAGGGAGGGAGCCTTTGATAGCTTCACCTTTGGAGCAATACAAACCTAATGCACATTAAAAAACAGAGAGGTGGGGGGAGCTGGAATCCAGACCTTCCCAACATGTGGATTGCAGCACTGAGGCAGCCCCGAGTCTAAACAAGGCTGGAGTTAGCATTCAGAGCACACAGCCCAGCAGAGTATGGGAAAGGGATCAAGCAGCCAGCCCAAAGAGCTGGCGCCAGGAACTGACGAGCAGAACGCAAGTGATAAAGATTTACTGCGAGAGAGGAGGAAACAGTCCGCTGGCCCGATTAGAGCTGTGAATACCGAGTTGTTCAGGGAGGATTTTGCAGCTGACTGATCACAGGCTGTCGGAGCAGGCCTTGGACAACAGCTGCAAGGCTTGCTGGGCTGCAGAAACAAAAGGCGCCTAGCACGGTGCAAAGAAAGAGTTGACAGGTTGTTGTTAGCAGTGGCAAACGTGTGAGGTATGTCACTGTGTGTGAGAGGGGCTGGGCGGGGGTGCTGGAGAAGAAGGAGGGCAAGAAGCACAGGCAGCACTCAGAAAAAGAGGGGGCGTCGTGGGGGAGGGAGTAGGGACACAGGCTTGGTCAAAGCGTTTTCCTAAAATCAGGCCGGTGTTTGTAAGGAGGACAATCACAAGGTCTGTTTACTGCTGCCAAGATGAATTAGCCCATCGTCTCATTTATAGGACGAATCCGGTGGCACAGACTATAAGGTGCATGGCATTAAAGGGACTAATTAGACCATTCTGGCAAATCTGAATTAAGACCCTTTCTTTCTTTGAAAGCTGGAAAGCATTTCTTAGGACTCAAGTCAGATGGCTTAGGTTTTGTTGGGCCTTTTCTTTCCCTTCTGAGAAGGGATATCTTGTGCAATTCCCTAACTCACAAGGGTCTACTCTAAATTCTGCTCTGAGCTTCAAGAACAGTTGTTAGGAAGCTGCTGGCATTTACATCGTATCTAAAAAGGTCCAAATGAAAATCCTGGATTCTGCAGAAATTCAGCTCCCAGGGACAAACTTTACAGCTGGTCCCTCCTGTTAAGAATAGGCTAAACCAGAAGCCCAAATGAGAACATACCTGAGCTAGGAGCCTGCAGCCGAATTCTCACTCACACACACAAAACAAGTGAGGTTTTTCAAAAGATGGCTTCTAATCTGACACCCACCCCCTTCAAATCCAGTGCCTGCAGCCAAGTGCTTTTCCCAAGCAACTCTGAGCTTTCTGGAGCCATGGTTCACTTAGCATGTGAGTGCTGGGCAGGAATGTATCGATGAAACTCCAGAGATGATCAAAGACAGGAGCTGGAGAACAGGAGACTTTACTTTCAGCTCCCTGTTTGGCAAGTTTAGGATTCAGTTCTTGAAGTCTGGCAACATTTTTACCCCAATTGTGACCAAAACAAAGTGTTCCAAACACCTCCGAAGCAGTGGTGCATGCTGTTTGCACACAACCACTATATTACAGTGGTCACTATTAAAATGTTTAACAAGTAACTAAGGTTACCATGGCATTCACAGCATACTCATAGAAGGCAATACCATGAAAATCACAGAAACATCCAGCACTGCAAGCTGCAAATATCAGATGTTCCATAGTAATTAGTGACACGTTGTAAAGCAGAGGCTTCTTGCATTTTAATACACATATCTATCACCAACAAATACGAGACGCTACAAAATTGCAGTGGCCTTTATAGTGTTCAATCAATTATACAAACAGACCTTATTTTGATTTTTCTCTTCTAAATGGTCTCTGGGACCCAGTTAGTCTAGTCCCAATGGGCAGCACTTGATACACTGTAAAGGGAATACAGAACAAGAGGCATTTCAAGGCTTCTAACACAGCTCCATTCTCCCTATATATATATATATAAAAACCAACCCAGCGTGCAGAATACTCCATCTAGGGGCAGAAATGTGACTCAAAATTTCCTTAGCCTTTCCTTTGACATGTGTTAACCTCATTGTATCAGGTCTGAGTGCATGAGAAATAATCAGGCATTTCACAGAGGTTCTAAATAGCTCTTCTTCAGTATGAGTCCATATATTGTTACTTTTGCATTATTTTAAATACAGAGCTTCCAGTTTGAGTTTCCACTTAACAGTGATGAAGAACACAGGCATTACTTTTATACACCTACTAGCAACTGGACTATACTTTAAACTACAAATATTATCTTAGGAACCATTTATAATCCATCATCCCCATATGCTCGAAGTTTTCAGCTAAATAAGGGTGGCCAGTGAGCTCAACTAAAAAGAATACTGAAATGCCTGAAGGACTACTTGTGTAACTATATTTTTGGATGTAATTGTGCTTCTGCTGGGGTCAAAGCAAAGTCTGAATTTGAGTGCAATGAGAGTAGAAATAATATAGAGGTATATTTCTGAGTCACAAATTCTCCCTCTAGCTGGATAATTCAACATCATTTATGATTAATGGTATTTGTTCACCAAATGTATTTGAGAGCAATGTATACAGCAGACAGAAGCAACAATTCACAGGCTCTGAGAAAACCCTGAAAATATAAAATAATCCCCTTTAAGAACTTTTTCCTTTTTAAGGAAAAATTTGTTACAGAAGTGTATCAAGCCTTGCCTTCCAGTGACGTTTTCTTTATAAAAATCGCTTTCAGCTGACAAGTCCTCACTGATTTTCCATAGTCAGCAATGGGTTACGGCTTGTCCATAATGTCACAGCTTTCCACTGCACTGTGTCTTGCTCTTTGTCTCTCTGGTACAGACAGGCTGCTTCTGAAGCTGTTGTAACACTTCAGAAAGCAATCAAATTACGTCCTACATTTGGTCTCCTTAAACACCTCTGCTTGATTGCCCTCCACTCTTCCTGTTCAGCCTCTGAGTCCCAAACCTCATACTTCATAAATGCAGAGGTTAGAATTTTCTAGACACCACTTTAATTTTTCAAATAGCAATCCAATTACTGAACAAATTGGCACATGTGCCTGGTTACATAGTGACTTGGCACTGCCTCCACTCGCTGCTGGCAGTGATGAATGTGTTTCCCTTTCAGCCCTCCTCATCTATCTGCCCCAGCCTCCGAGCCAACACCAGTGACCACATAAGGAGAGTGCCTGGCAGCTGCAAGCCTGAGGTGCCAAGAGGCAGATTGTGTTCTGTAGCAGCAGGATCTGGGGCTGTGACTGGCTTCCTGGCTAGTCTTTTGTAAGACCTTTTCCATGGCCTCTAGGTTGGCTCTAACGAAGCCTGTAGAAATGCCTGCAGGGAGCTGGTATAGAAGTGAGTTAAGTCAAAGGTTTAATTTGGTTTCTAAAGTGAAGTGAATGTATACTGGCCTTCTCTTTCCACCCTGCAATTATATTCCTGCCACATTTATGTGAAAATACAGTATTCAGTCAACAATAGGAGTGCATTCCTGGGTATGTCTGCACCACATATTGGGGCAAAGATCACCAAGCCAGTCTCAATTAACTTTGCTGCAGAACCAGGAGCAATATAGCCGTGTTTGTTTGCTGTGACACCCGAGCTAATTAACTATGTGTGGCAGTAACAGAGCTTTACTGTTTCTGGCACCGATGCTGCTGTCCCTGTGTGGCAAACTGCTACAGACATGCCAGCTCACTTGGAGGTAACCATAGGGCTCCCCAAGCCAGTGCTGCTTTGCACTGCCCTGATGTGTTTAGGAAAACCCCAGGAACTGGCAGGAATTTGTTGGGCATCACGTGAGAGTGGCAAGGATACAGATGTGGTTACAGTAAAAGTGAACTGTTCCACCCCAGTCACATTCTTTCAGTACTCACAGCATGATGGTCACAGAGCATCTTTAAGTAATGCGTTGAGCATCTTGAGCAGCATCTGTCACATGTGCTGCTTTCTCAATATCTCACTTCCTCCTCCAGGGGCAAAAAGCTGGACAAAGATATTGTAAATGTTTCTCATAATTGCTTTTTTTTCTTTCCCCCCAAGAAATTTGTGTCTTATTAATAAGTGAACTTCTTCAGACTATTTAAAAAGCCATTTTCAATTATTGCAATGAAGCAGATAAGAACTTTCCCACAACAGGATAGCTTCTCCCCATCTGGGTGTTTTTTTGATCCCCAAGAAATTAACTCTCTTAAAATAAATGAGTGCAGGTTCCAACGACCAGAGATGCACTATGATCCCTGTAATTCAAACAGGCTTTGGTGAAGGTAAAAACAAAACAACTTGCCAGCTCTTCCTCTTTTGGAATTCCACCTCAAGCATACCAAGAAGCTACTGGAGAGAATCAGAGTTATTTGTCCAGCAAATTTCTGATGCAGATGATAGTCTGGAAAATATCTGAGTGGACTATGAACTGCACACACAAGAATATTTCACTGAGTTTGCTTGCTTGGACTTTACTGTGTCCAAAGTGTGAGTTGCACTTTTTGGGTACAGTTGTTTGTTACTGATGGAATTTTTTCCTGTCCCTTTATATTTTTTCCCCTAAATCAGGTATTTTGACAGAGGTACTTAATGAGATGTACTCAGAGGTACTCAGTGAGTGGTCAGATTATATTTAATTAAATCATCTGCATTTATTATAACTCAAGAGCCTTTACCAGTGTTTATCTGTGGCTAGATAAGAAGCCCAAGGTCTTCTGTTGGCTCCCTAGATAAACAAGCCATGTTGTAATTCCGAGAACCACCATAAGTATACAAGGACTTTCTCTTCAAACCTAATCAATCACCCCAGATCTCAAGACTGACTTTTCACAAGGCACCAAACACAGTGATACATTTTAACACACGCACCCCTTGAGCTATCCCTCTGTACAATCACTCATAACTGTGATGCAGCAGTGTGGATTTTAATTAACTGTTTGATACCTGAGTGTGATATTTTTTCTCTGTGCTCACAGTCTCTGCCATAACTTTTTATGGAGTCACTTTAAACAAACACCATGAAATCCTGCACAGGCACCAGGCAAGGTAAAGTTACACACGTTGCTGGTAGGCTTCAGACCATTTTTCAGCACTCTGTACCTCTGTATTCCAGTGATGTCCAAGAGAAGGATAAAATCCCTGGAGCTGCAGATGAAGGGAAACCCTACTGCCATCTTCAATACCTTCTTATGGGAGCTGGACACTGGAGCCACTCTCCTGGCCACAGGTCTGTAGGACACAAGGAAGAATTAGTTATCCAGAAGGGCACATAAGCACGTGCCTCTCACCAGGCATGTCAATGTCCCAAACATGCCAAAGCTAGCAACATTGCTGAAGCCAACCTGTGCTGGTGTTAAGCATGCACTTGAGAGCTCTGCTGGATGGCAGCCATTTACAGATGTACAATCAGTACAGAGACATGGAGGCAGAGACTTCCTTTCATGGGTCCTCTGAATTCTCTTCCTGAAGACACATACTTGGTCATTTTAATTAACATGTTTAGAAAACCAAATACTCTTCTTCTGATTACATCTCAGACACTGGCATATGTATAATTTTTCCTGGAGTCCTTAATTTACCATGCTTCCTAAAGATCCAGGGCCAGACAAACAACTGAAAATCAAATGCACAAAGTAGCTGGATTTTGATAAGACAAAACTTTTCCTGCTCCTGTTTACCTCTTGCTTTATCCTTGATTGGTTTCAAGATGCTGGTGGGTACTTGCCTGCATGTAATGATAACTATTAACAGCAGCTTGATGAATAAGAGAAGAGAAAGTGGAAAAGAAAACAATAGGAAAGGCATAAAGGGCACTAAGTTGTTCTTTCTGGGATGGGCATTAGGCATATGTTCACTACTTCAGCCTCAGTGCAATCAGAGCTGTCCTGTGCCACTGCCAAAAACTGTAACAGGTGCCAGAAGATTACAGCATGGGTTAAATCCACTCTTCAGGCACTAGCTCAGGGACTGATCCAAATCCCAGGAACCAATGAACATCTTCCCCCAGATGTCAACTGTTTTCAAATAGTTCCCCTCTTATTTCCAGTGTGATGCTGGGGAGGGGCAGGGGGATAAATAAATTTGGCTGCCAGGAGGCAATCCTCTGATTTCACCACTGCCAGCCTGGCCAGGTGCCAAAGTCATGTACAGCCACTCAGACACATTTGTAAGGTAATTAATATTTTATGTTCACAATAAGAAAGTTTCATTCATACAGAACTATTAAGACAGTTTCTGGTTCCATTCTTCCCAGCACATTACAATGACAACTCCATGTCAGCAGCAGCCACATGGCCTAAAGGTGCCAAGCTGGCAAGGATACTCTCTGTCAGCATTTGGCATCCAAACCCCTTGGCAAAGCCCTCAGCAGTTGTGCTTGGCTGCCTTTGGATCCGTCATGTGCTTGGGCTGCTGATAGCAGGGGAGGGTGCCACGTCCCCTGGGCACCATTTCCCTTTAACACCTGTCTGACTCGGAGGAATGCGTGCACATGTAGAGCGCAGAGATCCCTGCACAAATCCTCCTGCACACCCACAGCACATGCTCCAATTTTACTGAAAGAGCTTGTTTCCTCAGAACCACTGGGCCTTCCTTTTTTTTTTTTTTTTGGTTGGGTCTTTTTTTTTTTCCCTCTCTCCCCTTCTTTCCCTTCACATATCTGTATACAGCCCTTAGAGGGTCCTACATCCTGCCATGCATTCCACATGTGTTGGAGGTTTCCTCTGTGAACAAGGAATACAAAACATAGCCCTTTTGTATATAATGAAGTCTCATATTTTACTGTGCTTATATAAAACCATTTCTTTGTGACTAAGACTCTTTTTATTTGTGACATTTTAATGATCTATGAATGTTTGGTATAGATGAAAGGAAATTATTATTTCCAGGTCACCTTGTAGTAATACTTTTTGATAGGCACCATAATTCCAATTAAGTTGAGTAATAATAGAGGGGAAAACCCTTCAAACATTTAAAGTGCCACTGAAGCAGACATATTTTTAGGGGAAAACACAGAAACAAGCATGCATGCTTTACCACAAGCTACAACATATCAGGGGAGCACAGATAAGAAAACTCAAACCCCTTTTTCCTCTGCAGACCAGTCAAACAAATGCAGACCATAAGAATGTGACACCGTGCCCATTGTGTCACAGAACTGGGGCTGACTTGGGCACAAATTCATTGAAATACTCCCAAGTCTGGTCCCTCAGAGGTACCTGTCAAAAGCACAGCTACCACCCCAAGCTTGGCAGAGGCAGCTCCCAGGAGCTACAGCAGAGAAGTGCGTTGAGATGTTGCAGAGCACCTCCCCAAATCCCTGCCTGTCCCAAAGCACCACCCCCATGAGCCTGCACTGGTTCTTCTGGTACATTCTGACACCTTTGAGCACAGTTATCTTTGGGTCAGACACCCTGAAGCCTGTGAAACACATGCAAGCCTTGGGTTGCTAAGCTCACACCACAGAATAGCTGCTATCGCTCACTCTGGAGCGAAGGCTCCACATGCCCATCCCACCCCAGCTGGAACATCCACACACAGGCCACGACCCTCGTGCTCCCCCTCAAGCCATACCCTCTGCCTGTCATCTTGTACTGTGATTTTTGCTTTGTGTCAAGCTCAGGGCCCACAGACACCAGCCAAGGCCTCTGTTCTAGCACAGAACACAAACCCTGCTGGCTGCAAGTAGTATGTATCTCTCAGTACTCCTGTGTTTACCCACATGAGCTTTGCTTTTTTGAAATGAATTCTTTTAAAATTGTTTTGAGGGAGCTGATTTTTGTTGTTTTCTTGGGCTTTTTTTACCTTCTTGAACAGTTTTTCACTATTCAATCAGGAAAAAAACTTCTCTCCCCCTCTCCTCTGACACATGTTTCCTTCAGAATACTAGGACAACACACAGGATGGACACTGGGCCCATGACAAATTTAAGATCCAGCATCTTTCCTGGCCACAAGCCATACTTTTCTGGAATGGAAAAAAGCTTTTTAATAAGGCATTTTCAATAAGAAATTCACTATTTAACCCTGCAGAGGTAAGGAAATACTCCAACTTAAAATTATTATTCAGTTGCATATAAAAATGTTATTTTAGATAATTTTTAGGGCTTGCTATAATTGCATTATTATCCTTTTTTTTTTTTTTTTCTCCATGACCTGGGCAGTGAATTTCATTGTGATTAAAGCACCTGGCTTTTGGAGCAAGGGAGACAAAAAATAAGTACCAAATAAACATATAAAACTCTCAAGCAACATTCCTGGAGTAGTTCTTCTGTAAAGTGCATGGCATGTTCAGAACACATGATTTCCTAGTACAAAGATTTTATTGGCTTCACTGCTCAGTGTGATCATCTCAGATTCATGCCAAATAAACCTTCCCCATCATATTGATATTTTATATTTCATTTCAGGCTAAACCTACTCTTTCTAAACAGCAAGTTCCCAGCTCCTGTGGGATTTCCCAGGCTGAATGCATGTTTTATTATCTTCCCTTGAAAATTATAACCTAGAAGGCAGTGCTGCATATTACTCTTGGCAACTAAAGTGGAAAGGAGTAAGCACAGGATTTCAGAAGATGCAACAAAAGAGACAGGGAGGAGGCTTTGCCTCCATCAAGTTCCTGGCACCTTATTTTGGCAGCATCCCAGTGCCAGGCACCAGGAACAGGCTTGTTCTCACAAGTGCCAGTCATAGTGAACCCTGGGATGAGTGCACCTACAACATGGTCTGTATACAAGTCATGTGGAAGACCAAAGAAAAGAAAAGAAAAAATTGATGTAAAAGTTGGAAAAGCCTCCAGTTTGAACTACATACACATAAACCTACATGGACACACCCTGCCAGGTGTTTCCTTATCATGATCCACTTCCCCCTGTTAATGTGACTAAATAAATACAACTCACCCAAATTAAATCCTGACCATTTCCCCATTTTAAACTTAATGAACTTTCTCAGATTTGTGCATTTTTTCAGCATGCAATGTA